ACATATATATATATATATATTTTAAAAGGAGAAGAACAGATTATTAAATTTATCAGTTAGTAAATATTAATATTACAGTAAATTATATTATAACATCCTCTATGATTTGTGAGATTTTAAATTCCCTTACCTAACGTTCGCAAAGAGTCATACTTCAATATTTTTTTTAAACAATTAACGGATTAATGTAATGTTTGAATAATGTTAGTGCAAAATTCTCAAATAATTAAACTTGCTAATTAGTAAGGTAAAAAAAGTAGAAAGAATGTGTGTATTTAAAGACTGTCTATGTAATTTACACTAAATATTAAAGGACCTAACATATAGAAAGCTTCCCATATATATAAAATTCAATCATAAAAAAAGCTGTGAATTATTAAAAATATATTATAATCAATAGATGCATAATATAATATATAATGAACAGAATTGTTAGCCCTAAAAATACTGCAGCATTTCTGCAATGTTGTCCAACAATTATCTGCTTATCTTTATTCTAAGTGGAATACGTGTATTTCTAGATGATCATCCCAAGGTAGAGTTAGTTGTGTACGGGAGGGTTTTTCTTTGGGGGAGAATAGTCCATGTCAACAATGTTTACATGATCCGGATAGTGCTCATGAGAAACTTCTTGTTGCTTATTTACTAATATTTCCTTTTCTTCACCATTCACTTTACAATTTCTACTGTTGCCAATTTCTGGTCCCTGAGCTTCATTCCCTCCATTCTTCACATTCTGTCAATTGAGTAAATGTATATAATCGTAAATGGTAGAAAGGAAGAAATTCCAAGGTTTCATTTGAGTTGACATCTAAACAATCAAAATTACCAAACATATAGTTTTTTTTTTTTTTTTTAATTATCTCTAAACCAACCTTTGAAATATGGTGGGTGGTAGAAGTTGATGAAGTAACAAGTTTCCTAATCTTTATTTTTCCTGCAGCAACATAAGACACAGCCACGATACTTAATAATACGAAACAGTGGATGTCATGTTAATACTAAATTTTCTTGCATGATGCAAATACATTGTAAGGTTTTTAGTTCAGAGCCAAAAAAATAGAACGAGAATAATTCCTTTCATTTTTCTTTCTAAATTAATTATAACCAGAAAACTAGATGTCATCTTGGAGGAAGAACATTGAAGCAAGAATTACAAGGTCATTGTATGTAAGTTGCGAAGAATGATTGTACTGTAATAAACTAACAAAGAAGAATATAGAATTTCTGGGCTAGATTGAAAGCTAATGGTGTCTAGGTCTATGTTGTCTTGGTCCACTATAATCTTCATGAATGCGGGGTAACCGATTGATTGGTTTTCTGGATACTCTAGAAGCTCTTTTCTTGAGAGTACCTGTGCAATATTTTTCATCTTCGCATACAATAGGTTGGTTGTTAGCACTATTAATTCTTTTCAACAAATTGTTTTCTTGATCCTGCAGTCAAAAAAGAATTTATTGTATTAACATCAGAAAAAAAAAAAAAAAAAGAGTTGCTATGATAATCTTAAAAGTCTAAAAGTTGATATTTATATAGAAATATATACTATTATAATAGTATATTTTAATTCTTTAGCAGTATTTTTTTTATATTATTTAAAATATTATTATATATTAAATAAATAGGTTATTTTATAATATTTTTTGAAAAATATTATTATAGATAAAGTAACATTTTTTTATTTCAATATTATCCTTTTCAATTATTTTTAAAATTAAAGTCTCATATCGAGTAAAAACAATGTCACGTATATAGGTTATTTTGTAATTTTTTTGAAAACTATTACTATAAATAAGTAACATTTTTTTATTTTAACATTATTCTTTTAAATTTCTTCTAAAATCAAAGTCTCAAATCGAGTAAAAAAATATATTTTTCTCATCTCTAATTATTACTCATATTAAAGTCTCATATTAAATGAATAAATGACTCTTAAAGAGTATATATAATCATATAGTTATAATTAAGATAAATGAACTTTGATATTTGATATATAATTAGTAGTAACTAATTAAAATATCTTTAACTTTCTCTTAAAGAACTCCTAGGAATTTAGGAGATATAAAAATTTAATAATTGATAGCAATATATGAATTAAAATTAATTATCATTTTATAAAGTTAACAAAAACTTGACAATATCATTAAACTTTTACAAAAATATCACTTTAATAATATTTAAAAAGTATTATCTAATTATATAAAAATGTTATTAATCATATTTAACAACATAAAATATATATAACATTTAATAATATATTTAATAATATATTTAATAATATATTGTAAAAGTAAATTAGTTATATTTATACATAATTAAATTTTTCAAATGCTATTAAAAGATTTTTGTATTGTAGTGATATGAGTACGTAAAACATCAAAGCAATCATCACTAACATGTTTTTTATGTTGCTGATCTACGAAAGGCCCTTTCTCCAAGCGGATCCCTGAAAGAACAACTAACATGAGAAATCCAGCAAATATATTATCATATGTAATAACTCTAAAGACGTGCTTGGGAAACTTATCCAGAAGTACTTATTCAAGTAAAAAATAAGAGAGAAAAAAGAAACAAGTTTTTTCATAAATTAAAATTAACTAATAAGCAAGCTAATTTGAAGAATTTTTTTTTATTAACTTTTCACAAGTTCTATTTTCACATTATTTATAAACTAGTTTTAATTTATAGAAAAAATTATTTTAATTTTTTTTTCCTCTGAATGACGTTATTATGACGAAACTTGTTTTTCAATCTGTCCCTAATACATAAAAGTAGTTCTGCTGAAAATATATACAATACATACCTTCACCATTTATGAGAAAGAGAGACAAAAGCAGAAGAGAAATTACGAAAGATGGTCTCATTTGAAGAAAATTCTTGGGAAGAACCAGAGAAGTAAGTAGGTTCATCAATCCCTTAACAAAATGGATCAAAATGTTCAGGTCCTTCTCTTCTTGTTGAAGCCTAATTAATCATGCAATTGGAAACTTATAACTTGTGGTTGTGAGTGATAGATGATGGCCTTTGGGATGTATAGCTGCTTATATTTATATATCGATCAATGAGTAGGGGGTCCACAAATTAATTAATTGAAATTCATCAACTTAAACTGGGAGTGGTTGTTTTCTTTAATTAATTTGTTGTCTTCCTTGTCAGAGGAAAATATTAATAATTTGATATCCCAATCATTTAAGTGCAGGTCTAGGTGTAAACAATATTTTCAACGACAGAAAATTAATTAATACTAACACATGCAGTGTAGTTTAGACTGTAGAATATTCACAACATTAATTAAATAAGAAGTAGTGTAGCATATATGGAAAAAGAAAAGATGAAGTGTGGGCTTTAAATTAAAAAGTACATTTACTTTTGGGAATGCTACAGTGTTTTGGCTGGCATGTTTTAGAGAACCCCTAGGAAATGTTATTAGTTTCCTTGATTTACTATTCCTTTTCCTTGTTTTTCACGAATGCAGGCTTCCATGTTTGCAAATCTCCCTGATACCAGCGTTTTGGTCTGTCTCAGATTCACTTTTGTGCTACAAGACCAAGGATTTTTTTCCCTATGCTTATTTTTTCATCCTTTTAGACAATGTGTCTCCTCAACAAGACAATCTTATTGATTTACTCATCATGTCTAAACTTTTTGATAGCTTGACTTTTCCCTCAACGTTTGAAAGTTTTCTAGCTAGGTAGAATAAGCACAAAGATTGGTAAATACCCTTTGATTGTATATATAATTATTTGTGATGATATGATAAAGAGAAAAGAAAATAAATAAAGGTTATAAATTGAGTGTTTATAAATTATGATTCCAACAATAAATAGTTTATTTCTATCTATCAAGTTATCTTCTCTCTCTCGAAAAATAAAAGAAGAAACTATTAAGGTATCAATTCAATTTCATCACTACTATAGCGAAATATTATTTTTATGTTGTTACCCGTTTTCCAAATAAATAAGTAAATAACATTTACAATATAAGCTTAATTAATTTATTTAATTAAGCTTATAATTTAATTAAGATATTTTTAATAAATAAAATAAAATAGAGATAAGAGTTAAGTTAGAAACAAGTCTTTGGGTTTGGACTCTTAATTCCAACCTATAGTCTTATTAAAGTGAGAGGAAGAGAGTTAGGTCAAATTATACATTAGTTTCTAAGTCCTAAAAGTATTTATAGCAAAAGTCCTAGAGAAGAACTCCAAAGAGAATGTGGAGTAGAGGATCGTGCCTATGCCTCAAAAATCATCATCTGGAGTATGAGAGGATGTGAGAATGTCTCACTTGTGGACACATATAAAGGATGAGTAGCAAGGCGACCCCTAAGCCTCTTACGGTGATTCATTGAAATACATTTGATGCAATTGGTGTTAATATGAGATTTTTGTTGTTGTGTGAACATGTATGAGAAGGAATTTCATAATTTATAGTGTGAATGATATATAATTGTATGTTGAATATTAGAAAGGTTGAATGATACTTTGGGAGTTCTGTGCAATTTAAGTGGTTTTGATGTTTATTGATAATGATTATGTGTTCTATTTATGGATTAAAAATATGTTATCATTTAATTGAAGTATAAAGATGTTAAGATGAATTCAAAAGGGTTCAGGAACCCTAATTCGCAAGGTTCAAGATTCTCCAAAGTTCAAAATTTATAGTAATGTTGGTTGTGCATTGAACACACCAGACGTGGAGAGCGCAACTCTCCACGCTAGGCATAGAGAGGGCTATGCTGGATGCAAAAGCAACAGAGAGGTCCCTAACCTCTCGACATTGAGTGGGGATTGTCTTGTCAAGCACCATTTGATGTCAATTTCCTGAGTGCATTACGCTAGGCGTGGCCAAAGTCATGTCGAGTGTGAATCTACCAAAGGGGTCCATGTTCTCTCAGCCTTTAGTGTGGGAGTAGCCATGATCGGCATGAACGCGGTAGAGAGGTCCTTGCCCTCTTTGCGTTAGGCGAGAGATTTGTCTCATTGGGCACAATTTTGTTGAGTAATAAAAAGATGGTTAGCGAAAAAATAGTTATTTGAGGAACTTGTGGGGGAGAATTACAATTAGGAATTAAAGAAGAGAAGCAGAAAAGGATCCCTATGAGTAAATTAAAAATTGAAAAAAGGAAAACAAATGAGAATGGTAATTAGGGAAATGATAGAGAGAAAAAGATGAGCATGATAATCATAATTAAGTCAAAGATGAGAAGAGATAAAGTACCACCATAACTAAGTAATTAAAGAGGAATCGTAAATATGATGAAAGCGATGAAATAATAGGCATAAAGAGATGATGTTGGTGATGATGAGATGAAGAAATCTAGGCAAAGGCTTGGTCTTTTGGAAAAGTCCAAACACAGAGGTTTGGCAACACGAGGATGATGACACTATGCATTGTATTAATTGTTTTGTTGATTACATCACCTATTTTACGTATATTAGTATATTAGTATATTACGTCACCTATTTTACGTTGTACATACAAAAACTTGACGTAATAAAAATACGGTGGCATATTTCGTAATTTTAGTTAAATTATTTACGTCGGACCTCCTAGGGTCCGACGTAAATTTTAAAATCTACGTCATCTATGCATTGTGTCCGACGTAGATGTTAAAATTTACGTCGGACCCTACCAGGGCCAACGTAAATAACCCACAGGACGCCTTAAAAGAAGGTGTACACTAGCTAGATTTCAAAAACTTCATGGTTTCCTTCTCCCTCGCGTTGTGCAACGGAGGCCACACGCGAGAAATCCCTCCGCCTCCTCCTCAAATCGTGGCTGCCCTCGCAATCAGAGCCGCTCCCCCGACGACCTCGTCCACCTTCCTCCACACCATGCACCGCAAGTGCTCTCGCATCAACTCCCTTCGCCTCGACAAGTTCTACCTCCTCATCCGCACCTTCCTTTTGGAGCTTAGGAAGGTTGGGGAAGAGGTTGATTCACGTGATGATGTTTTTCTTCTTCAGACGGTTGCGTTGGTCATGGGCTCTTCTGGGAGGTTCTATGAGGTAGCGTCTTTTGCTGAGTGTGTTCACGGGAATAGGAAGGTGATGTTTGCGTTGCATTTCGAGTTTTTGAAGTTGGAGAAGGAAGTGGCCAAGTCCGGGTTTCTAGAACCCACTCCTGGGCCTATCAAGCAGAACAGGCCGTTCTGCAAGCAGAACAGGCCGTTCTGCAAGCAGAACAGGCCGTTCTGCATTCTTCTTGGAGAATGAGTCATTCTCCATTCAAAACGAGCCGTTCTCCATGAAAAATAGGTCATTCTGCTTGGACAACGGGCCGTTCTCCAAGCAGAATGGCCCATTCTGCTTGAACTTGTTTTTCTTTTTTTTAAAAAAAAAATTTTTATGACTTTTTTTACGTCGGACCTTGGCATGTCCGATGTAAATTTACATCAATTTTTGCGACCGACATAAATTTACGTCTCCCGCTTCGACGTCAGAGGTTTTTTTGACGTAAAACCCCTAAAATAACCGACGTAGAATGTATATTCTATACTAGTGATTTGGAGTGCCTTTGGCATTATTGGAGATTGTCACCACATGTATATAGAAGTAACAACACGAGTTATATAAGTCGTTGAATAGTGAATATGGTTGCTTGACTGTGAGATTAATGTATTAACCTGAAATGGAGCAAAACTTATAAATGTTTGAGTTGGCTTGAATGGTATGGTATATTTTTTTTAGATATTATCTTTATCATTGATGTGTTATACATGTGTGAGATATATTCTCACTCATCTTGTTGTTGTGGTTATTTTTCTTGTTTAGGTTGAACGTCATGCAGGATCTGATTAAATAGACAAGGTTGAGCATGAGGGATATGAAGCTTAAGGCTTCGACATTGTTTTGAGTCTTGTTCTAATTAATGTAACACTAGGGCTAGATAATACTTATGGTTATTTTATGTCTTGTGAGAGTATCGTGTCATCAGACTTAGAGTTGACTTTATTTTGTTTTATTTTCTTGAGGTTTTGTAAAGGCATGTTGGTGCCTCCATTTGTAAACTTATTGTACCTTATTATATTTACTTATTTATTAATTGGAGATTTTATTTAGTAATTTAAGATGAGTAAACCTTTTACATTACGAATAAAAAAGATTTATTTCATTTAATTTTTCTAAAGAAATGTATTTTCATAATAATATCTCATTAAACAATTTGGGGTAGTAGGATGTCACATTTAGTGGTATTAGTATAGCTAGGTCAGTTCATCCAGTCGATGTGTTATGTGTGTTTCTCGTGTTTTTGTGTGTACTCTAACTTGTATGTTTAGTGTTTATTGTTTTGAGTTGTTTTTAATCTTTGAGGACTTTTTTTTGAATTAGAAAAGTTATGGTGGGAAAGAAACTATTGCACTTTAGTTAATGTTTTACAAGAGATAGCTTAAGTGATAAGGACTATGAACATTGTTGAAACCAATTGGTTAGGTTTTAGAAGAATAATCTGTCTACCTTTAGGGCTAGAGTTGATCTCGATGGAGATATATAGTGGATCTTTTAGATAGAGAAGATCTTTCAGGCTATGGAGTGCCTCATTGCATAGGTGTCCCTTGCTACCTTTATGTTGTTTGGAGTTGGGTTCTAGTGGTAGAACACCTTGTAGTGGATGAAGATAGAGACTGCTCTAGTAAATTGGGAGAACTTTAAAAAGGTTTTTTTGGAGAAGTATTCCCCGCAAGATGTAAAAAAACAAAAAAGAGATTGAGTTCCTTATGTTGAAGTAGGGTAACAACACGATGACAAAGTACATCAGTTTAAGGATTAGGTACTTTTCTGTCCCCACTACAACAATATGGATAATGAGTTGGTATATCTCATTGGTTCACACATTACCATCAAGGCACATGTTCCACACATTAGTCACACCATTTGCATGTTTGCTTCTACACCCCCTTTCTTACTAACACACACCCTTCATCACACTTGTCGTAACCAAAAAATTCTGATCTCACGACCAATTATTTGGACTACCGTTTTGAAAAATCTCATTAATTAAGGAGT